TGGTCTAGCATTAGGTGGAATGGTTGGTGGCCCTGCGTGTGGCAGGGGGGTTGGAGATTCATGATCCTTGTGGTCCCTTCCAACCCTGGCAATTCTGTGATTCTGTGATTCTGTTTACTGTGAGCCTATGACAGCGGTGAGTATTTCCATTTATTTTAACTATCTTTCCACCATAATAATCTTACTAAGCCTAACATCTGTACACTTATTGATTTTACATCTTACTGAGCCCAACCTCTATATACCTATTGACTGTATAACAGTAAAACTGGGGGAGTTTGCTGTGGGGGCTGCCAATATTCAGAGAGCAGCTGTGCATTGGTCAGTGGGTGGTAAGCAATTGCACTGTGCATCACTTGTTCCATGGTTGTTTTTTTACACCCCCCCTTTTTTCTTTCCTATTAACTGTCTTCAACTGAACCCATGAACATTTTATCCACCAATTCTCTCTCTAATCCCAAAAGTGGAAGAGTGAGTGAACAGCTGAATGATGCTGAGCTGCCTTTTGAGTTAAACTACAACACTTACCAAGTCCAAATCTATATCCATCAGAGAATCGGGTGCTGGCATTCCAGAAAACACAAGCGCTGTCCACATGCTGGAGGAAGAACTCCGCTGTTTTCTCTGAGAAACAAATAGAGGAGAAAATAAAATTCCTACACAAAGAACTATCATGCACTTTGATAAACAGAACCTCACATAGTGAATAGACAAAACTGCAGAACTTTCACAAGTAACACTGTCTGAAGCATCTAAACAGCCTGAGTTAGAACGTGTTCATATACACATTCCCAGTACTTTTATCAAGTAGACAGAGCTGCAAATATTACAAGAAGCCTGCAAAGATAAGAAAAGTGGAAAAACATCTAATAATAACTACAGTCTAGACCCTACAAACCAGGTTAGTTATATGACTGGGGCAAGGGAGAGAAGCCCCACATAACGTTTTGATGTCAGACAGTTAAACTATGTATTCAGCTCTCCACTGTTCCAAACACAGAACCATTCCAAATAATGGAAAATCCTATATAAAATTTATATTGTAAATTAGATTTGGGAAACAGAATGCAGAAATCCCACTTGAAAACAGCTAACTAATCCGGCTTAACACAAAATGTGCAGGAACAAAGCACCATCAAGCAGACTTGTGCAAGTCTAAGTGCTCCAGAGGATATGATTCTCTCTAAGGTTGTAAGTTGCAGGTCAGTCACCCTTAGCAAAAAAACCAACAGTAAAGATCAGGTCTACATCCTGTATGCACCCTAGTAAATCACTAACACGCCAGCTCTTGGTGGTAACAGCTTACAGTATCAAATGTATGCACACCTTTTGGCGCCACTCATCTAAGCTTTGCAGGAAGTACAGAAGCACAAGTTTGCTTGAACCTCACACGGATGAGCCACAAACAACACAACCTCACTGCAGCTGACCCTCATCTGCATTAAGGCTTGGATTGAGAGTCATCTTTTGGCTGGGAGCAGCTCTCGCTATGTTTTGAACTGGCACAGTGTACAAACTGCACGTAAAACAGGTACTAGGGATGGGAGCATTGAAGGAGCAATAAACTGGGAACTGAGGCATACGCAGCTTTTAAACTACAGATGCAGAACTGGGAAATAAAAGACTAGAAGAGGTGGGGAAAAACATTTGCGGGTCCTTGTTTGCAAGACATAGAAATGATGTGAGAAGGCAAAGTAGATACAGTCTGATTTTCCCTACAATCCATTCCCACCACAGAAGTTCACCTCTTCATCCTACAGAGGCCTAAGGACATCTTCAGAATTCAGGAGATGTTCCTGTAAAACTGCCTGATATGGTCCAGGAACACAAAACAATCTACCTGGCAAGAGAAGATTATGCCTACTCTGGAACCACAGTAAAAGAAACTACTGCAATATAAGTAGTCATGCTAGAACCAAGAGCAAAACCAAAACGGAAAGAAAAGAAACAACCCGCTCACAAACCATTTTCTGTGATGATAACATCCGTGTGAGAGCTTCCATACTTGTGGATATGTTCAACAGCCTCGTGGACACCGTCCACAACCTCAATGCAGCACTCCAGGTCCCCATATTCAGTGCGGAGAGATTTCACTTCAGAGGGGCTGAATGTCAAGTAAGAGGCAAATTTTGGGCCAGCATGAATCTTCACCTGCAACACCATAAATATGTTGCAATTCTGACCATACCAACAATTTCCAGATGAATATGCAAACTTGTTACTTCAGGTCTGGTTATGATGGATTTTATTTTCTTCATACTAGGCTGTATAGTGATACATTTTGAATTTGTGCCCAAAATAAATCACCGTTTTGGCTGTTGCTAAACAGTGCTTGGATAGTTCTAAGTCTCTGTTTTTCCCCACAGTGAGAAGGTTGGGGTGTGCAAAAAAGAGGGAGGGAACATAGCCACAACAGCTGAGCCCAACCAACAAAAGGAATATTCCATGTCATGTAACATCATACTCAGCAATAAAACTGAGAGGAGAGGGGTTTTGAGGAAAGCAAACATTACTCAGGGACTGACTGGCATCGGTCTAAAAGTAGCAGGTAGTGAACAATTGCATTTTCATCATTTGTTTTTTCTCTTTTCTTCTTCTTCGCTAATTGAACTATATTTTTATCCATGAATTTTCTTGCTCCTCTTCCACAGGGGGGAAGTTAGTGATGAGTTGGATGATTAGCTGCTGACTGGTATTAAAACACATTTGTGTATCAAACATTCACTAAGGGTAACTTATCTTGCATTGCACAAAGTTTTCAGAGACTCAGCAGATATAACTAGCAATAAGGCACAATAGCTGACATGTTACGTTGACTATCTATCATGACATGCTCATACTCCAGGGCTCATTTTTCATTATCTATAGAGAAAGACATCATTTTTCATTATCTATAGAGAAAGACATCTGGCAGGAGGTCACTACAACACTACTGCACCCAGCAGTGCAGTATTTTTAGACAGCAAGTGTAGTGCAAACAGTAACTACAGGAAATCTTCTGTTTGCAAGTCCCATCTACGGAAGTCTTTAGCTATGTCTATCCTTTTATTTTGTAAATTAGCACCAGCCCCCTCTGAAGCATTTGTTTCAGACAAAAAAGAATTATTGTCCAAAACTAGACAAGTACTCACACAGATTTTTACATACCTTATAAGGAAAATCTAATGCATCACCAACCTCCAAGCTCAATTCTAACAGCCAAGATACATAAACAATGACATGGGGCAAACGCTGAGCTCAGCTTTCGGGGGACAGCAATAGGACCCAAGGGAACAGCATGGAGCTGTGTCAAGAGAGCGTCAGACTGGGTGTTAGGGAAACATTCTGAGCCAGAGGGTAATGGGCATGGCAGAGGCTCCCCAGGGCAGTGGGCATGGCCCTGAACCGCCAGAGCTCAAGGAGCATTTGGACACTGCACTCAAATATAGGGCTTGAGTGGTGCTGTGTGGAGCCGGAGGTTGGACTTATGATTCTTGGGAGTCTTGTAAATCACTATATTTTATTATTCTGTGACACTTCACAACTGGTACAGCACAGAAATCCCAATGGAAGTGAAACAAAGGAAATGTTAACAGGACAAATGTAAGTGAGAAATAAGTTTCACAAGTCCGCTAAAAAGGGGAACAAAGTTTGAAATTTAGGACTAAATCCCTAACATTTGAGGACTGCTAGGAAAAGCATGTAAGATAGCATTTTCACATGAAACTACAAATTGTACTGATTGTGTAATCCTGCCCAATATTTGCAGGTTTCACATTGTTTAGTCAGAGCGGACAGCAGCATCCTCACATCCTCCCCATTACTTTAAGGGCTGGGGGCAGCTGCATGTTGGTAGAAGTGTACCAGTCCTCACGTTCCTCCTCTTCAAAATCCAGAGACATATCCTTCACTCTACCCTTCTCAAAATACAACCAAAAAAGATGTAAAAAACAAAAACAAAAGGAAAACATCCATTAGGTGAGGACTTGCTCCTGACTATATACAAAGGCCAGCTTCTCTTACTACAATCCTTTTATCATCATCAAAACACAGGGCCTATTTTACCCCATTTTCCTGCATTAACTACTGCCTGAACAATGTCAAATACATGCTGCTGTATGAAAAATCCTTATTTAATATGCAATTCAAAGTATTTAACAAATATTTAAGTCCTAATGCATCTTTGCTACCTTTACTGGCAAAAAATTACTCATGTCAAGACACTTAAGTCATACAGTAGCCTTTCACTATTCCTGTGATGTAACAGGAGGGAGAACAGGTGGGAATAAAGGCACACGATGAAAGGTTTAAAAAAAAAAGTGGATGAAGCAGATTCTAAGAGAAGAAAAACAAATTGGAAATTGTCTAAAGTGAGAAGGTAAGTGAATAGATTCAATAAGAACAGGCTTTAGGTATAGAAAGTTACAAGTCAGAATTAAGAGGAGCAGAGGAAGGGTTCCATGGTGGAAGGATTTTTTTTGTTACGTAAAAGAAAGTATCTGTATCCCAGGAATGGCACACAAGCTGCTTTCTGATAATTTCCATGGAAAAACTTGGGGCTGGGCAAAGATGACAAGAAAATTCTCCATTAAGTTTGTTTGCATCTACGAAGAGACACATGGATAATTTAAGTGTTATGCCATCACAAAACTACATATATCTATGTCAGCCAGAAGAAATGCTTCTAAAATGTTAAAAAGTAAATAAATCAAGACAAATAAAAAACAAGTATACACGACTAACCTGTTCTACTCTCAACATGTCTATGATCTGATCAAACAATGGGGTTCTCAGCAAGTCTCGATGAATTAACAGTGTTTCCAGAGCATTACAGGCAGCAGGATATTCACACTTTGAGTCTCTGACTGAAGTTTAAGAGTAGAGAATTGGTTATGTAACATTTATGACAAATTTTGAACAGTATATGAATCAGCAATTATCATAATCTTATTGCATATTCCAAATATGAAGCTCATTACACCCATGATTCAAGTCACCCTCAAGCTGCTTACTTATTCGCGTGACCTTTTCAACACTGGCATCCGTGTCCACATACACATGACAGATTCCTTCGCTGTGTCCCATCACAGGTATTCCCTTTGCTGCTTTCTGTATATTCCTGACTAGCTGCGATGAACCACGTGGAATGATAAGATCTATCAGCTTATCCAAACGGCACAGATCTTCTACTTCCTCTCTTGTATTCACCTGTGGAAGTTGTGATACAAGTGGTCCATAGTCTGAAGTTCTACCTGTTCTCCTTATACAAAGCAAAATATTGTTGATTTAGTTCTAGATACTTACCAGTTGCACTGCATCTTTGACTCCATGAATTGAAAGTGCTTCTTGTGTCAGATGATGAAGGATTTGATTGCTATAAGCTGCCTCTTTTCCTCCTTTAAGTAGCAAACCATTTCCACTAGCAATGGCCAAAGCAGACACCTGTCAGAAAGGAACATGAAGGCAGACAAACAGGAAAATAAGGAAAAGACAAAGCGATCTGCCTCTTCTGAGAGTAACATCCACAAAATAGAGTTGGAACAGAATTTTGAATTCTGTTTTTACTCGAGATCAATCCCGTGCACCAATAAACAAAACATATAACTCCAGAAATGAAGTAACTTAACACTTCAGGCACAAACTTGAGTTTTCAGAGTACTACTGGCAGAGGGACTGCAGTAAGAGAAAAAAACCCTGGACAGAGTCTCTGGCAAGAACTGGACAGCTTCATAAAATAATTTCAGATGCAAGAATTCTTGTTTCTAGTCATTTTAACTGGAAATAACTAATAAGCTCTTCCTATCAAGAAGATTTTCCATTGTGCTGTCTAAAACACAAATATAGACAACACTTGAGATAAGTGAAGAGGGAAGAAAAAAAAAAAAAAATGAGGCAGTAGGCCCAGCATGAACTTTATCACATTTATAATCAGAAGGAACTTATTGATCTTGTCATCTGCCTGTTTATGGCACTAAATTTCACATATTTTGAGTCCAACACCACAACAGGACAACTGAACATTTGAATCCAGCAATACAACTGGACCTGGATAGACTGGTGAGCTGAGCAGAGAGGAACTCGATGAACTTCAACAACATCAGTAGTCAGGGATTAGAAAATAAGATCAAGGTTGCCTATGCAACCTTAGTTCAGATCCCATATTTTCATGTATTACATTAGCATTTAATCACAGCGATATTTCTGCTACACAGCTCTGCAGATGAAGGTATTTACTGTAACATACCTGCCTTACTCTGGACATATGAATGACATTCACTTACAGTACACCATTTGAGATTTTCACTTTTTTTTTTCCCCACAACTTCAGTACAGAACTTAAATCACCACATTAAACCACGGTGCTTTTCCTCACACCCATCTCTCAAGAACTAAGTAAAAGCTCTAATTTTGCCTCACTGCAGGCATGCAGTATTAGCAAAAGACAGACTACGCAAAGCCTAGAACTTCCGTGCTATGTTTTTTTTAAACACATATTCCTAACAGTTCGATTTGTTATTAATAATCTTTATTAAACAATTGATGTTTAAGCCTATCTTGCAGTTCAGCTGCATTCAGTATGGACAGACAAGTATTCATCGGTAAGAACCTTCTAAGCTGCAAGTTAAGCAAGGAATTTATGTTTGTGAGATACATGCAGGAACTGCATCATCTGAATGCAAGCTAACTCCTTCTGTGTACTGGGTTATTAAAAAACAACTCTAAATAACTCTCAACACTGCAGAAACAAGTCCTGAGAACTCATCTGTAGAAAAAATAAGGATGCTAACAAAATTCATTTTAGAATAATCCAAAAGTCTTCTGAGGCAAGCCTTCCTGCAGCCTCCCAATAACTCATCAGGAGAAATATGCTTTCTTTTGTTATCAAAGAATTCCTAGCAGAATCTGCCCTCTGTACCTACCTGTGGGAGACAGTCAGGACGGGACTCAAAAATCACAAGAAGAACCCCAATAGGCACTGTCACCTGCTCCAATTCCAGGTCTTTTGCTATTCTTGTTCTCCGAATTATGCGTCCGACGCTGTCCTGTGAGGATGCTGCAATCTGGCGTAGTCCAATAGCCAAGCTGTTCAGCTTTGATGTAGAGAGACTTAGACGTTTCAACAAAGGAAGTGCCAGTCTTCCTAGAGGAAAGAAAAAAAATATGCTTGAGATAGCTTTGTCTGCCTAGACTCAAGCAAAAGTGACCTAAAGGGTGAAATGTATGGAAAATTCAGATATTTCCTACTCCCAAGCAATAAACCTACCTAAGCTTAATGCAATACACTAAGTCTCGTAGCCATGACAAAACCACTACAGCATGAGAATGTTTTCCCAACCACCACAATTAAATGTAATATAGTGCATATGAAGCAACATCCACATCGACAAGGTTTTTCCAATTTCAAATACCATTACACAGTGCTGTAGTTAAATTTCTTAGAAGTTTATACCCTTGCAGAGTTCTGGAAAGCCTGGGCAAAAATTGCATTCTTCTACTTTAGAGACAGAAATCCCAAAGCACAGACAAGTGCACATTTCATTACTTTGGTCAGTAAAACAATTGTTGCCATATATCTTGAACTGAATAGCACAATTTGTGATGTATCAATTTCTTATGTTTCCAGAATATGGTTGTTACAACCAGAAAGGTCAACGCAGTGGAAGGGAAGTACAGAATGTAGTAGCAAAGGGACTAACATGAATGGACAAGTGTTACAAAGGAGAAGGAAAAGTACTCACCTGTCTCTGAACATCTAGACTCACAGAGAAAACTCCACAAGAGGGGGATCTCTAACCAGATCCTTCCCCAGTGGCAGCTGAGGTCCAAGAAAGGTGCAACTCGGATTCACCCCTCCGGTCACACAGCTGAATGGCCTTCAGCTGTGCTCCCAGGGCTGACCCAGTCCCTTCCCCAGGTGCTCAATCAGTGGTTCAGGCCATGACTCAACAGTTACCATACAACGGTTGTTCATGGAGAGTATCAATTTAATTATACAGATGGCAACAATCCCCACAGGAGCCAAACATTATGTTAACCAGCCCAGGAAATACACACTTTTTGTATTATAGTAACAGGAAAGATATTTGCCATATTTCATTTCTGAAGTGAGCACTATCATTTATTTTCACAGAGCTCTTCCTGGTGCTTTGCAAAGTCTCACTAATTTCTCTGATGAATACATCTGTTTTATGTAATTGTGGAAGCTGCTGTTGTTTACACTGACAAACTCTTCAAGTCCTGGTTTCACTAATCTGTGATAGCAATAATTCCCAATCTCAGGTAACAGACATCTCTAGTTCTGCCCATTTCCTTTGAGTTTCACGACAACAGGAACATGATGGAACAAATTGTACTATTACCTTTATTTTCTGCTTCTTCTAAGTCCTTCTTGTTTGCCAAGAGAATTTCTTCTCTTTGATCAGTTAGTAAGTCAGCAAGACGATAAATAATCTCTGCTCTCTGGAAGACAAATGTTTCTGAACTGCATTCTTACATGAAATCCATTCTATTTGATATCTAGCCCACTTCCTTTCTACTGACCGTACCTTTTCACTGTCTTAACTCCCTGAATACTTGGGGCCAGCTGATTTTTCCAGACTGCATTACATTGAAAAATAAGGCTGAAGAGACCTTCACTTTTTTTTTTTTTTTTTTTTTTTAATATTTTGCTCCCCACACCCAATCATCTTACTAAACCCGCAAAGTTTTAAGATCACTCTGTGGTGTTCGCAACAGATGACATATTTTACCCAGTCAGTTGTAAAGCAGTAATTGGCAGTAACTGATTGTCTCAAACTTCTCTTTTGCATACGCTACACACACAGGAGTGAATAGGCCAAAATTACTCCTGTTAACTCTTCAGAAGCTCTGAAAAATCAATTTTTACACAGTAGATGTTATTGTAATGTTTATAAACCCCACATGCAAACACTTATTACATCATAATTCTGAGGTATACTATCTATCTGCTCTTTGCATCTATTTAAATATGGTACAATCCAAATGATGGATCTGGCACACAAATAACAGATTCTTGTCCCAGGAGGCCTGTTTGTGTTAAAAATCTGTTTTTTTAAGACTTGCCACACATTCACAAGCTTAGCAAGTGAAGCCATATTCTCTCACCTGCTCAGGCTGCAGTGCTGCCAGGGTCCTGCCACCAGCTCGAGACATTTCACCTTGCTGCTCTACCGTAGGGCCTGTATCATGATAACAAAACAAAAAAGCAACAATAAAAGCCCATGTCACACATGGACAAAGTTACAGATGTGTGGAAATGAACACCAGCTCTTACATCTTCTATCTCTTTACTCAAAGCAGGAAAACAACTACTTTTCTAACAGACATATCAAAGAATTTACTGCATGTCAAAACAGGATATATCCATTTTTATCTATCAGATGAAAAATACTGCCATGATTCCGAAGCATATCCCTTTTAAGGGCATCATAGAGATTCAGTAAGATAATTCATGTCAGAGTGGAAAACCTTATATCAAAAAGACATAAAAATCATAGAATGGCATGGGTGCTTGGATTGGATGAAACCCCAGGGATCATCAAGTTCCAACCACCCTGCCACAGGCAGGGCCACCAACCTCCAGATCTCATACTATACCAGGTTGCCCAGGCCTCTACTCAACCTGGCCTTGAACACCTCCAGGAACAGGTCATCCACAGCCTCTCTAGGCAGCTGTTCCAGCACCTCACCACTCTCTCTGTGAAGAACGTTAGCCTGACATCCAATCTAAACCTTCCCTCCTTGAGCTTAAAACCATTCCCTTTTGTCCTATCACTATATACCCTTGTAAAAAGTTGACTTCACTCCTGTTTATAATCCCCCTTTAAATACTGGGGATATATAGTGAAGTCTCCTTGCAGCTTCTTCTTCTCCAGGCAGAACAAGCCCAGCTCCCTCACCCTATCTTCATAAGCAAGGTGCCCCAGCCCTCTGATCATCTTCATGGCCCTCCTCTGGACCCTCTCCAATGACAAAGAGCAAAAGAATACCAAGATGGATAATTCTCAAGGTATAGGGTGCTACTGGAAACAGGGAAACATTTAAAGTATCTAAAGAAAACAGAAAGTACTGCAAAACAGCATGGGAACGTAGAAACAATAATGGAAGCCCAAACCAATCTGAGTAACACCTTGCAGAAAAGCTTCTCTTTCCCTTTGTCTCTGTGTACGTTTTCACAGAATCATAGAATGGTTTGGGTTGGAAGTGACCCTTAAGATCATCTATTTCTATCTCCTTTGCTAGACAGGTAGGGACAATTCCCTCCAGACCAGGTTGCTCAATGTCCCATCCAGCCTGGCCCTGAATGCTGTCAGGGATGGGGCATACACCACCTTCCTGGGCAACCTATTCCAGTGTCTCACCATCCTCACAGTAAAAAATTTCTTCCTAATATCTAGTCTATTTTGGAATGGTTCCCACAGAAGAAAGTTGTCTTCTTTTTTCCCCTGGTAGGAACTCACATCAAAATGAAATAGCATAGAACAAGTTTTCATACAGAAACAGAGATAACATGATAAAAATCTTAATGGTTGATACAAATTTATTGTAGTATGGCTAAGTGAAAAGTGTCAATACCACAGTTTTTCCTAGAAAGCATCTTTTCAGTAAAGAAGCTTGGTCAGCATTGTGTCCTTACCACCAAGAAAGCTAGTGGTACCCTGGGTGGCATTAGGTAAAGTACTATCAGTTGTTCAAGAGCAGAGATCTTTTTTCTCGACTGAGCATTGGTGAGGCTGCAACTGCAGCCCTGGGTCCATTTCCAGGACCCCCAGCACAAAAGCGACTTGTACATACTGAAAAGAGACCAATGTAAAGCTACCAAGATGATCAAAGGACTGAAGCACCTCTCCTGTGAGAAGAGTCAGAGAGCTAGGGGCCGAGACTGTTCAGCTAGGAGAACAGGAGCCTCAGAGCTGAGGGAAGGATCTCAATGTCTGTAAAAACCTGAAGGAAGAGCATATGGAAAACAGAGCCAGACTTTTCTCAGTGGTGTTCAAGGAACAGACAAGAGGCAATAGGCAAAGACTGAAGCGTAGGAAGCTCCCCTCCATGGTCTCCTGAACATCATGAAACACTTTTTCATTATGAGAGTACCTGAGCACAGGCTAACATCCCACCAGTGCTCAGGAGTATCAAACAGTAACAGCACTGGTGGGATGTTAGCCTGTGCTCAGGAGTATCAAACAGTAAATTAACTGTTTAGGCTTTTAGACAATACCTAGGGAAGATAACAGAAGCATCATTAATTTAATCAAAGCTTAAAGTTAGCCCTGCATCTTGTACAATGAAAGTGCATTTACATCTTGGCCGCTCCAAGAAATTTTCTTTTTTGCCCACTTCAAAAAGGCCACAGTAGAACAAAAACATTTCAGATGAGATGAGAGGGTGATCACACTTTTGGAATAACTTCTATACAAAATGACTAAGTCACAAAGTCTGACAAGGAAAGAGTTGATGTCTCACATCATAGAAGTTGATCAGAGTTGACCACCCATGTTCTCTGTACAGAAAGCAAGGGTACCAGAAGCTAGCAGCAAGCAAATTTGAACAGCTCTCCTATCCGCAGACATGCACAAAATAAAGGAGGCAGTTCTTCTTGCTTGCTGTGACTCAGTCTCATAAATACTAAGCATTTACATAGGTTCTAAAGGTGATCTGACAAATTTATACAAGAAATCCATCAAGCATTATTATACACACTTGTCTTACAGTGCAAGTCACAAATACCACTCTATACTTGTTCTACCCTGCTAAGATCGTGGATATTTGCTCTTTCTACAGCCACTGTTACACTGCCAGAGCAACAGAGAGGCAGTAAAACATTCCCAACCTATAATACCAGAAGACAGAAAGCAATAAAATGAATTTATGATAAAAAGTATAACTAGACATTATTTTAGTTCAGCAGCACATTTTATAGCACACTTTCTTTCACACCAAAACATTCAACCATAGAGGATAACCTCTACAATGTAAAAAGACAATTCTACTCAGTTCTTAAAACGCACGTCTGATGCATCAAGTTATCAGCTGGAGGGAATCTTAGCAGAGGATTTTCTATTCCATTTTCTATTCCAACCTCAGAAAATACCTTTCAACAACCATTTGTCAAGCAGAACGTGATTTCCTATTTGTTGTACAGATCTAGCTAAATTTTAACTCTAAGCTTTCAGGAAATCTCTTTAACTCTATACTCACCTGCAGGCTTTACCTCTGAAAAAAAAGTTCCAACTTTTTTCCCTTCCACAATATCTGTGATGACGTGACCAGAGATCTTTGGGTGGGTTCCATTTGCAATCACTACAGAAGTGCCTCCTTGGAGGGCCCACAGAGCTGCTTTCACCTACAGGATAGAGCCAGTTCCAGAAAATTCACTTGTTATTTGAATCCCCATTCTCAACAAGAATTCTTATAGAATCACAGAATTGCTCAGGTTGGAAAAGACCTTAAAGATCATCGAGTCCAACCACAACCTAACTTTAACAACCCTCTGCTAAATCATGTCCCTGAGCACCACATCCAAACTGTTTTGAAACATCCAGGATGGTGACTCAACCACCTCCCTGAGGAGCCTATTCCAGTGCTTAACAACCCTTTCTGTAAGGAAGTTTTTCCTGATATCCAACCTAAACTTACCCTGGTGCAACTTGAGGCCATTCCCCCTCGTCCTGTCACCTGTCACAGTAGAAGAGACCAACCCCGCACTCGCTGTAATCACCTTTCAGGTATTGGAAGAGAGCAATAAGGTCTCCCCTCAGCCTTCTTTTTCCAAGACTGAACAGCTCCAGTCCCTTCAGTCGCTCCCCGTGGGACATAGTTCCACTTTGATCTCTACATTAGCCTTTATGCTTTCAGAGCATTCAACACATTTCAGGAATTTCTGCAACCTAGTGTTATGTTAGATCATGCGTTTTGATCTTTCTTCCCCTTCCTTAAACAGATGCTGCTTTAGAAACATACTTCAGATTTCCCTAAGTCTGCCCTTTTCAAGACTTCTGCAGGGGCACTTTGTCCAAATGCTCTTCTTCAACATTCTCTATATCACAAATTCTTCTTATTGTTTGAAAAAACACAGTTTTCTTCTTTGAAAAACTGCGTTGCTAATTTCCCTAACACTGGCTAGCCATCAGTAATTAACCCACTTTGAGTGCCCACACAATATTACTTGTACAAGTCCTAGCCTACCATGTACCATTAAAATATTTTTCAATGTCCTTACTTTTCTGAATTACTCTGTTGGAAGACTGACTGGCCTACACGTCCCTTACAAGTCTGCATAAGATGCAGAAGTACTCTCACTGTTTAAGACTTTTTAGTGAAAAAGATTAAGTACTCTCAAGAGTTCTTCGGACTTCCACACATTTTTAAACTGTTTTAAACAACATTCCCTGCTAATGCTTTTAGATCTTTTTTTAAAAAGTTGTTGTTGCTTCCTTTTTTTTCCTTGGGAGTACATTTGTTCGTTCTTTCAGTAGGCTCTATTTGAAGACTGCATTTATTCATTTTTTAATTATATGGGGGTTTTGTGTGTGGCTTTTTTTTTTCTCTTTTTTCTTTTCTTTTGCATTCTTCTTACTTTTGTAGTTTTAGAGATGGGTTCTATCCTGTAACATAACTACCAGTTAACTTCAGTGATCAGGCCCACACTGTACTATGCAATGCATGAAAGGAACAAGGCCAAAACACCAACTACCCAAGGGACGCAGACAGATGATTACTGGAATCAGTGACACTAGCAGAATATCTGCATGCTCAAGGCTGTCACATGAAGTAAGCGGAAGCAAATATCATGGTTAATAAGATCTCTATAAAATTTAGCGGCAGTATTCCTTCAGGCATTGCTTTAACATGGAAGACAAGATGAGTTCCCTTTCTGAACATCAGCAAGTTTATTCGCAAGAGTCCTTTGAAGTCCTTTGAAATCACTATGTCCCAATTCCTAAGATTTCCCTTTTTCCACTTAATTAAAACATTGTTCAGAGCATCACAAAAAATACTTCTGTAAACCTTTTCTCTAATTCAAGTAAATATACAAAACCACAAAAACAAATTCCAGATGTTACCCGCTGAAGGTGAACTGCCTATGGTCTTCATTACTTTTTCTGATTAAGGTACTGACAACATTCCACTATGGTATTTAATTCTGTGTAATTTATATCACCACAAAAGATTCTAGTGACAATGCTGCATTGTCACTTTTGTGCTTTCCTATATATTCCTATACTTTTATACAACAACCCATATCCACTAGAAGACACCACCCGTCAGATGCCTATCATATCAACCTCTTGACTACCACAAGACCATCAATTGCTTCACTTTTGCCCAAATTTCATGCTAATAATCAGTATTTGAACACCATGTTTACACCATTGTTGACACTTCAGTTTTCCAAAAATATCAACTGATTCTCAGTTCTAACATATTCTTGTTTAAACAGTAGCATTTGGATTCCCATTTATGTGTCTCAAGCTTAAAGATACCAAATATCTCTAACAGATTACTGCTTTTAGAGAAGTATTCCCTCACCTTGTCAGCTTTCTCACCAATTCCTAGCACCATTTAAACTATTTCATATATCAACTGAAGGGAAATTCACTTCTGATTAGGCTCTATACATCCAGTAATTCCCAAATAAAACACTCAAATATCTCCTCCTTCTGCAGTTTTCCAGTCTAAGCTTGATACAGAAGTCTGCTCTATCAGATTAGTCAAAAAAGAGACATCAGAGAACTGGCAAACATCTTGACTTTGGTCTTTCTGTGCTTTATCAAAATCCGTTTCTCTGTTTACAGACAGCTTTCTAAAAGTCACCTTAGGAAATCTGCACCTATAAATACTAAAGCAGTTCACAACTCAGCATCATGAGAAATATTAGAAAGAATAACAAGATGGTCAAAGGGACCTCTGGTCCATCTGGTCCAGTCTCGTGTTCCATCAGAGACACCTAGAGCAGGGGGCTCAGAACTATGTCCTGGTAGCTTTGGAATATCACCAAGGGGGAGAGTCCACAAGCTCTCTGGACAACCTCTGGCAGTGCTCCATCATCAACACAGGATGGAAGTGCTTCCTCATGATCAGATAAAACCTCCTGTGCTCCAGTTTGCGCCCACTGCCTCTTGCCCCGGCATTGAGCACCTCTGAAAAAAGCATGGCTACATCCTCCATGCACCCTCCCTTCAGGTATTTATACACATTCTTCAGATCTGTCTTGAACCTGAACAGTCTCAGCTCTCTCAGCTTCTCCTCACAGGAGAGGAGCTCCTGTTCCTTGACCATCTTGGTGCCCTTCTACTGGCCTCTTTTCAGTATATCCAGGTCTCTTTTGTTCTGAGACCTACTATTGCAGGTACAACCTCACCAGTGCGAAGTAGAGGGGGGAAGGATCACCCCTCCGAACCTTTGCTTAATGCTGCTGTGAATAACATTAGTGTTCTTAGTGGAAAGAGCACACTGCTGATTCACATTCAAGTTCTAACAGGACTACTATGTCCCTTTCCGCAGGGTTGCTTTCAAGCTGGGTGGCCTTCAGCATATATTGGTGCCTGAGTTTATTCCCTTCCAGGTGCAGGACTCTGCACTTGTTGATCTTCATGGGATTCCTACAAGACCAACTCTTCAGCCTGCCAAGGTCCCTCTGGATGGCAACATGGCCTTCTGGGAATCAGTAACTCCCTCTAACAGCATTCTCTTAAGTCTCACAATACGTTCATGGTTATTCACTCACAGCACTGGACACTAAAGGTGTCTGACCCTGCACAGCACTATAAATTATTGATATTACCTCCTTCAAATTTTCCACTCCAGAATTGAAATTGGTCAGTGTATAATCAATATTAAGATGTTATAATTATGAAATAAATAAGAGAGTTCAGCAAAGCAGATTATAATAACAAAAAGAGAATAGATAGGATGCTTACCCATATATCCTGGGCTCGCTTATGAAACTCCAGCAGAGTAGATCTCCAGAAGAGATCCTTCCCCACTGGTAATCAGCTCTTAAATGGGTCTAGAAGAGGTGCAGCCAGGCTCCACCCCTTCCAGCAGCACAGGTGAATTGCCTTCACCTGTGCTCCGGTGGCTGACTCATTGCTCACCTCAGGTGATCAATCAGAGGTTCAGGCCATGATTCAGCAGTTCCCATATAGTCAGTCTTCACCAATATATCTTTCAGAAGCAGAGGTCACGCAGAGAAACACAGAAAGGTGGCAGAAGTACCCTATGAGATTCAAGTGATAGGGATCCCAAAAGTCTCTGGATTATCATGTAAGAAAGCAGCAAGGGCTGACTCTAATTTAAAACACCAACTTTATATTGTTCCAATATCACATTTTACAAATTCATTAAATGTACTGTATGAGTTGCTCTTTTCAGTTCACGGGGTTCTCAGAGAATCTCAGCCATTCGAAGGTACTCACAGAACAGCTGAGGCTGGAAAGGATCCCAGGAGATCACATATTCCAACCCCTTGCCCAAAGCAGAGTCAACTAGAGTATGTTGCTCAAGACATTGTGTAGTCAGATCTTGAACATCTCAAAGCACAGAGTCCACAAGCTCTCTGGACAACCTGTTCCACTTCACTACAGAAGTTCTTACATTTAAATTTTATTTATTGTATTTCGGTCAGAGACCATCGCCTCTTGTTTGTTCCCTGGATATCACTGAGAAAAATTGGACTTTGTCTTCTCTACACCTTTCCTTCAGGCATTTATACACACCAATAAGATATCCCAAGCCTTCTCCTATTCAGTGTAAACAGTTGTAGCTTTCTCAGCCTCTCCTCATCATACTCCAATTCTTTAATCGCATTCCTGACTCTCCCGTGGATTCACTGTAGTATGTCACGTCCATCTTGCACTGAGGCACCCAGAACAGGACACAGATCTCCAGACAGTATCACTAGTGCTGCATAGGGAAGAATGATCACCTCCCTTGACCTGCTGGTTACGTTTTTCCTAGTACAACCACAGAATCACAGAATGGCCAGGGTTGGAAGGGGCCTCAAGGATCATGAATCTCCAACCTCCCCCCCACATGCAGGGCCACCAACCTCCACATTTAATATTAGACCAGGCTGCCCAGGGCCCCATCCAACCTGGCCTTGAACACCTCCAGGGATGGACGGGGCATCCACAGCCTCTCTGGGCAGCTGTTCCAGCATCTCACCACTCTCTCTGTAAAGAATTTCCCCTGACATCCAACCCAAATCTCCCCTCCCTCAACTTAAAACCATTTCCCCTTGCCCTGGAACCCTGGATGCTGTTGGCTTGAAGAGCATGGTGCGCTCTAGTGTTTTCTCAGATTGAGCAACCCAAGGTCCCTCCCTCCTATTTTTTTTTTCCCCTAGAATCTTAACTGGCTTTGTTGCTCTTCTCTGAAGTATTCCTAGCAATACAGTATCTATTTTGTAGCGAAGGTCTCAGATCTGAAGGCAGCACTCCAGGTGTGGTCTCCCCAATGCCAAGTATTGAGTGATAATTAACTGCCCCAGTCCTGCTGGCTGTGTTATTTCTAAAAGGGATGCTACTGGCCTTCTTGGCACACTAACTACAAGGGCCAGCCACTCTGCTGCCTCAATGTTAGCTCACTGCTGACTAGCACCCTTAGGGCCTTTTCCTAACAGTCAACTTTACAGCCACAGTTTTACAAGCCTGTAATAGTGCATGGAGTTGTTATGACCCAAATGTAGTACCTGCCGCTTAGCCTTGTTGCATGCCATACAATTGGACACAGCCCAGTGACGTAGTCTATCCAGATCCTCCTGCAGAGCCTTTCAATCCTTAAGCAGATGAACACTCCCACCCACCTTGGTGAGATCTGCCAACTTTCTGAGGGTGCACTCTCTCCCCTCATCAAAATTGTTCATAAAAGTATTGAACAAAACTTGCCCCAGTATTGAGCCCTGGGAACACTGCTTGTGACTGGCCAACAACTGGACTTAACTCTCTATTTACAACCACTGTTTTCACACATCCATCCAGCCACCACTACTGGTGAATAGAGTCGCTCCTCCCTAGGCAAAGGGTTTGGCATTTCCTTTCGCTGCATTTCAAAAGGTTCTTGTCTGCCTCTAACTACAGCCTGTCAACCTTCCTCTGAATGGCACTGAAATTATCTGGTCTACCAGCCACTCATCCCAGTCTTGTATTATCTACATCCCTTTTCACATCTTTCTTTCCTTCCCAATAAGAAAACATTCCAAGTTTCTACCTTGGCTTCCATGCCTCCCATTCCCACTCGAGATTTGGTTCCAAATGTCACAGACTGTTGGTCTCCTGGGTAGAATATGTCAATGAGCTTCGCATCATCAGATCCTGGAGGGCTGTTGAAGAGTCCTGAAACAAATATTTAAAAAGAAGAAAAAAAGAGAAAAAAAACACATTGAAATATATCCTTGAGACTGAAAAGCTGTATTTCACTTAACGGGATTAAAAACTTCCTCTGAACCCTCCTCTTTGTGGAAATTAAAGCATGAAACATAACATACAGAATCAAGACGTGTAGTTTTACCAAAATTGTAGCTAATAAGGAGAAACAGATCAACCCACATGCCAAACTGTAGTGTACAAGATATGAAATACAGATATTTCAACGAGGTTAGAGAGAAAGCTACAGGGAAATGTACTGCTTTTTTTTTTTTTTTTTTTTTTTATGTTCAGTATCAGGGCTTACAAACATAAGCACACAACTGAACAGGTACAGGACAGTCTAGCTGTAAAATAGAGGAACTGAAGAGATCAGAAAAACCTGAGCACAAGTTGGTTTGACTATTTTAACAAATTTGAATAGCTCAATTGGAAGGAATCTAGGAAGATCAGAGTACAACTGTCTAACCACCTCAGGACCAACCAACAGTTTACAGAATCACAGAATGGCCAGGGTTGGAAGGGGCCTCAAGGATCATAAATCTCCAATGCCCCCCACCACAGGCAGGGCCACTGACCTCCACATTTAATACCAGACCAGGCTGCCCAGGGGCCCATCCAATCTGGCCTTGAACACTTCCAGGGACAGGGCATCCACAACCTCTCTAGGCAGATGTTCCAGCACCTCACCACTCTTTGTGAAGAATTTCCCCCTGACATCCAACCTAGATCTCCCCTCCCTCAACTTAAAACCATTTCCCCTTGTCCTCCGGTTATCTACCCTTTCAAAGAGTTAATTCCCCTCCTCTTTATAGGCTCCCTTTAGGTACTGAAATCAATAGGTTGGAAAAGACCTATAAGATCATCCAGTCCAACCATCCACCTATCACCAATGGTTCTCACTAAAC